CTCTATGTCAATCCTAGGAGGTAGCACGAGGCTTACATCAGCATGGAATCATGGAACGTGAGACTTAGAAGAGCCCTTTGAGTTCTGCCAGTAAACTCCCTTTGCTTTGCACAAAAGGATCCTGAGTCACAGGGAGGGCAACTGACTGGTAGGTTCAAGGTCTAAGGCTGGCAGCCAGTTAGTAGCGTAGGCAGGGCTAGAACCCACTCACCTAGTTCCCAGTTCATCCTGCCTCCTAATCTGAATACTAAGGTCACTTAATGGTTGGTAATAAAAGATCAGCACTGAGCCAGCTTCCCTATTTCCTCTTAAAACTGCTCAAAGACCTCAGGGCACAGTTTAGTTTGGTTCCAGATACTTGCCTCAAATCATTCCCTCTCTAAATATATCTGTGATCAGAGAGGGCTGCCCGATGCAGAATGCGGGCTCTGGGGTCAGAATCATCGGGTACAATCCCAGCTTTGCCCTTATAGAGTGACCTTGGACAAGTTAGTTAACTCTCTGTGCCTTTGTTTGTATTATAAAATGGAGATAAAGATATCTATGAGGATTATATGAGAATATATATTTAAAGCACTGAAACAATAAATACTTGATACATGATAGCATATGTATTTATTTATTTGCATAGAAATGCATACAGAATATATATTTCTATATCTCCAATACATTGATTTAGAATTCTGGCTATGAATTCACATGGTTTTTATTCCTTACTGAGAGAGATCAGCTGTTTTTCACAAGGATTTTTCCTCTCCCTTATGGCAGTTAAGAAAACTTAAGGGCATGTCAGTTATAGCCCAATGAATCTGAAAAAAAAAAAGAAAAAAGAAAAAAACCTGAAGGGCCTCGGTAATGTGTCTTTTGGGAGACTTCAGCCAGGCAGAGGCAGATAAGAATTCATATTACTTTTTTTAGCCCCCAGGTTGCAAATTAAGTCCAGATAACTCACCTTGACTTATTTCCTCCCAGGTATTAAAAAAATTTCCTTTAGCCTTTCATCAAGCCAGGTCAGCCTGACCACCTCATGGAGCAGGCCAAGCAAGTTTCCATGTCATGGTTATTGAAACCTAGAAGTGTCCAGAGCCAGCAGACCCCAACTTCTGCTTTTCCACCCCAGCACACAAATGTATAGACACCAATCCTCTGACAAATGATAACTGGCCCTCTGGGGTAGCAGGACCCTGACCTTCTGGCCCTAAGTCTGGGGTTGACTGCCTCTATTCTGCTGGGACATTCTGTCCTGGGGAAGCGCTAATATAAGCTTCCTGGTCTCCAGCTCATGCTTCCTTTTGCTACCCATATGAATGCAACCTCTTCAGGGTGTTACCCACCTTTGAGATGCTGTTAGCACCAAATGTGGCTTTCCTGCTTCCCTTACCAGAGGCCTCAAACTTCTCCCTCCTGCATAGAACACAGTTTCTCTATCACCTCATCTGTGTTGGTCTTTTCTCCTTGCCTTAAGGAAGAACGTTGTGTTTTGGTTTCTTTTGCTTTTCCTCTGGTTGGCTGCTATGTGATGCTTTCTCCCCGATGGTCCATGTCTCGGACAAGATACACAGCATCCTGCATGAAACCCTCTCTTGAACAGTATTCCAAATACTCAATTTACCAACCCCAGTCCTTGCTGCCCCAGAAACACAACTGGGACTCTGGCAGATTCTGAAAGAAGATAGTTGCTTCCCTTTTTGTCTTTGGTTGCTCAGTGCATTTTCTATTAGCTTCTCTGGTCATATCCCATCTCAGTTTAAAACATGTTTCTCAAACACGCCAAGATCTCTTTCATTCCAGGGTCTTTGCACTTGTTATTCCTTCTGCTTGGAACATACTTCCTCGTCTTCCCCATGGCTGACTTCCTCATCCCTCAGGTTACGGCATCCTCAGAGAGGCCTTGTCTGACTGCTCTGTCCAGTTGTTCTGTACCACACTCCCCTGCTCCTTTCCTTCACAGGCTTTACCACATCATGCAACTATCCTGTTATTTCTTTGCTTGTCTATTGTCTGTCTCCTCCTACCCCGCCCAAATGACTCTTTCCAAGGGCCGGGACCTTGCCTGTTTTGTTCACCGTTATATCCTCTGTGGTTTTACATGATCCATTTTTAATTTAAATATCTTTATGTCTTTTATGTATTCTGCCATATCTTTATGCTTTTTTTAATATGACTTTTCCTGTGCCGGAGCTGCTCCTTAATACCCTTCTCTGGGGAGCCCCTATTCAACCTTTAATTCCCAGCCTACAGGTCAGTTCTTAATTTACGGAGCACTTCAAATTCTCCTGGGCAAAATTAATTTTCCCTTCTTTGTGTTCCTATACTGCTTTGTTCATACCTCTGTCCTAACACTTCTCCTACCACTTGGGAATTATTAATTTTCTAATGTTAACATCTATATGTTGCAGACCAAAGGTGGTGGAGGCTATATCATACAACTCCACATGGCTGCTATCTTTGTGTTGCAAATGTCTTCTCCCCATCTGTGGCTTGTCTTTTTCTTCATGCCTTTCAGTGAAGAGACGTTTTTGAATTTAATGCAGTCTAAATTTGTCAAAGTTTACACTACCTAGAGATTATAGAATGTTTTCCTTGATTTTCTTTCAAAAGTCCTGATTTTTGCTTTTCCCCTTTGAAGTCTTTATCTACCTGGAATTAGGTTTTGTGTAGGGGTGAGTTAGGACTCTAACAGATAACTAGTTGCTATAGCTTATGCAAGGTCTGTCCAGAAAAAGTCCAGCCATTGTTAGTGTAACGAGAACAGTTTGCATGACATCAAGGTAATCTGGCAGCCAAGGAGAGTGGACTGGAATGTGCATACATGAACAATGACAACTTCACTGTACTACTGCCACATTCAAAATGACTAAACAAGTAGACCAATGAATCTGCACCAAATTTTGCATTGAGCTCGAACATTCCTCCGTGGAAACTAATTGGATAATTCAGAAGGCTTTTGGGGACAATGCAGTGAGTGCGGTACAAATAAAAGTGTTGTACAAATGCTTCCAAGATTGGCAGCTTCATCACAACAACATGCCCACTCATGCATCATGTCTCATGCAGAGTTTTTGGCAAAACATCAAATCACCTAGGTGACTCAGCCCCGCTACAGCCCCAATTTGGCTCCCTGAGACTTCTGGTTTTTCCCAAAACTAAAACCACTTCTGAAAGGGAGGAGATTACAGACTGTGGGTGAGATTCAGGAAAATATAATGGGGCAGCTGAGGGAGATTTCAACAAAGGATTTTGCAGAATGTTTTGAACAGTGGAAGAGACACTGGGAGGACTGTGTGAGGTCCCAAGGTGCCTAGTTTGAAGGGGACTGAGGTGCCATTGTCCTATACACAATGTTTGTTGTATCTTCACCAGTAAATGTTTCTATTTTTCATATTATATGGCTAGGTACTTTCTGGACAGACCTCATATACTGAACAGGTTATCTTCCTCCACTGCTCTGTAATGCCAACTCTGTCGTATCAAGATTCCAAACATGGGAGGACCTGTTCCTGGGCTCTTTAGGCTGTTTCATTTTCCCCTTCTGCCTATCCTTATACTAATGCCACATGTCTTAATTTTTATAGTTTTATAATAAATGGCTATATATGAAAGGGTATGTCCTTGAAACATGTTACTCTTCCTCAAGAGTATTTTGGCTATGCTTTGCCCTTTGTTTTGACGTGTAAATTTTAGATTACTTTGTGAATGTCCAGAAAAAGTCCTGTTGGAAATTTAATTGCATTGAATCGATAGATGAGTTCCACCCCCAATTCTGTCCCCGCCGAAAGTAGCTCAAGAGATATTTGTAGAATGCATGAACATCTGATGAATGTCTCTAAAGTACATCTCATGAACAAACATTCGATAGCAGTCAGTGAATGAATAAATGGGGCCAGTGATAATTAAGATGAATCAGCACATTCTTACTATTTAGCAGCTGCAAGTAAATTGCAAATAAATTTTTTCCTCACCTATTTGTTTTAATACTTTATTTAAAATACATGACCTGTTACAGAGGGTATATGAAAACTTACGTTAATCAATGAAATAAACTTCTTGATTAAACAACATATAATGAACAATGCTTCCCTGAATTAGGGAACAGGATGTATGCCTTAAAACAAAGGCTGGGTCTTGGCTGGGTTGCTCAGTTGGTTGGAGTGTGGTCCTGTACACCAGAAGGTTGCAGGTTTGATTACCAGTCAGGGCACATATGTAGGTTGTGGGTTTGCTACCTGGTCAGAGCATGTATGGAAGGTAACTGATCAATATTTCTCTGCCACATAGATGTTTCTCTGTCTCTACCTCTAAAAATCATTAAAAACATATCCTCAGGTGAGGATAAAAAAAAGGCCTGGGGTTGTCAGGCCTGCCATTAAATGCTAACAGACTTTTGCACATGTTACAGGAACTGGCTTCTGAAAAGTAGGCTGACTCCAGCAACTGGTGTTCTCACTCTGGCAGACTTGCTGACTCTCAACCATAAAAAGGGGACCTCTGCTTGATTAGTTTGGAGATAACCATCGGAATGGACTATGTCAGCTTACACTAGAGACCTTTCAACCTTCCTCCCACAATCTTTGTTCTGCTTTCCCTCTCCCTCCTGATAAAAACCTTAGCCTGCACTGAGATGTTAAGATGGGCTTGGCGGCACTTGAATAAACCGCTTTCCTTCTCCCCAGCACCTGTCTCACGAGATTGGCTTTCGTTGAGGAAGGCAGCTGAACCTGCCTTTGGTTAGAAACCCACAACTCTATCCTCTACTGAACACTTTCCTAATTGGAAAGCCTTTTGAAAAACAAATCGTCAGGAAGATTCTGTGTCCGCAACCCCGGGAAAGAAGCAAGGCCATCTGATAGGTAAAGTACCTGTGATCCCTCTGCCTCCCCATGTTCTGCGTTCAGGCGGGACCTCGTGGTTCTTTGTCCGGGGGTCCCTACCGCTTAGGGAACCAAAAGAACTACAAGTCCCAGCAGGCCGCGCGGCGCCCCGGCCTAACCAAACGGAATCAGGGGGTGGAGGAGAGCGACACTGCCTGAAAACTCCCCGTTACCAGCGGCGGCGGGAGGCCGGGCACAGAAGCTGGGTTTCCCTCAGGGTGAGTAGGGTGGCCACTCTGAGGCGGGAGCAGATCTGGGGCCGCCAGGGTCTCATGGCGCATGGAACGCGGGGCAGCCAGTGTGGAAGCTCCGGGCGCCACCCCTGCTTGGGCTACTGCAGCCACCTCGGGAGCCGGGAGGAGACCCCAGTCAATGACCTTGTCACCCTGGGCATTGGCGCTTGGCTCAGGTGACTGAAAGTGCCCTGCCTTCTCTGCAGCGACTCTGCTGCCTGACGTACCAGTGGGCTGAAGTGTGGACTGGTTGTTTCGGTGGCCCAGTCTTGCGTGTAGGCAGAGCTGAGCTACAGGAGGGCGGCAGGTGGCTCACCCAGACATCCTCAACCCCAGATAGTCTGTGAGCTCCAGGACTCAGGCAGCTGGGGCAGGAGCGTGACCTGAACAAGAGCAGCGGCAACGCAGAAACCTCGATCCTTCTAGCAGCTGGACGTGCGCCATTTGCCAGAGCGCTCCTTACTTCCATCACCTTACCGAGCCCTGTGCTTTCGTCTTTTGGCCGCACAATGAATGAGTGCCCACGACAGCCAGTGTCTGGAGAGCAGCCTTTGAAAGACACCTAATACAGCTCTCTCCCCAGCTTAAGTGGCATTTACTTTCTACTGACAAGGAAGTCATTCAATTCAACGAGTATTTATTGATTACTTTCACGTTGCTTGACACTTCGTGGGTGCTCCAGAAATACTTGCCCAGTTGAAAGTGAACTAGAGTTTATCTGTGCCTTCACACGTTTTCTCTAAGCATTTTCTCATTGCAGTGGTTCTCACATGTAGCATGTATCGCAATCACTCAGAGGGCTGTTACAACACAGTCCTGGACCCTGTCCCCAAAGTTTCTGATTCAGTGTCTGGGCCTGGAGCAAGAATTTGCATCCTTTAGAAGGTGGGGTGTTGCTGGTCGGGGGACTTATTTTTGAGTTCTACTGTTGTATAGTAAAACATTCTATGACCTTAAAGCTCCAACTCTTTACACTTGGTTATGGGCTTTTTCCATCCTTGTTTGCTGGTTTGATTTTGTAATTATAGTAAACACATGAGTGTTACTTTGTACACTGTTAATCCCCCCACATTACTTTACAGACAAATTTTAATATAGCTTATACTTCCTGGAATACATCATATTTTATCTTATTGTGTCATAACTGGCTTGGCTAGTTCTCAGCAGCCCTTAAGGATGCAAGGTTTGACCTCTGCTCAGAGAGTTTGCCTTTCATTTCTTTCTGATAGACACATTTTCTTGTCATATAGGGGACCTATAAGAGAAGAATAGTGCTTGATTAAGGCACCCATTCCTTCCCTCTCCCATCCCCCTCAACTTACCGATTTCCCTCCTGGGTTTAGATTTTCACACCAGAGGGACTCCTGTGGCCCACCTCAGGGCCCAGCAAGCCACTTGTTTACCTTTACCCTGTGCTCTCTTGGTTGGAAAGACACACCTCTATTCAAGTTCAGGCTCCAACCCTCACTAACTTTTCTGCTGGGTTTCTTACCTTTTCTAAAACTCAACTTCCTTATCTGTAGAATGGGGCTCTAATAGTGTACACGTCAGAATGTATTGTGCAAGCTGTGTGAGGTGTTTAGGCGCTTGGCAGTCCACCTCTCCTGTTGGAAGCTCACGCACTTAACCTCCTGCTGGCTCTTGGCACTTGGTTTGCCACTGTTCTCCCTGAGCCCCTCTTTCCCAGAATGGAGACTTTTTATTCCTTGTCTGGGTGAGATTTATTTTCACTGTCTACTCTGGGACCTTGGCATCGGTCAGGGATTCCTTTATTTCCTCATTATTGATTCAGCCACTTTCTGGGCATCAAACACTAGGAAGGGGAGGGTGGCCGCATTGGAACTGCATCACTCTCGGGCAGGGCAGATTGTAAACCTGCTCAGGCCAACTAGAAGGTCCCTGGGCATTGATTCAGCATCTCTCCAGACTGGAGACACGATGGTACTATCATCTTGTTTGCTTTTTTATCCATGACAGGAACCAGGTTTCCCTGAAAACCTGATTACTTCAAAGGTATGACTGGGTCTTTTCCAGCCTTGGGAGCAGCCCAGAAAAAAATAATGCTCATTTGTCTAATACTCTGTCTAGGAAATGGGAGGAGGCTGTGGTCCTTTTACAGGATTAAAGCAATGAAAGCCCTAAATGCCTTTCCTTTGGCTATTCTCACCTGTGCACCAGGCAGAGCAAGGTGATTCCCGGCCTATTGTCCCTGAATGTGGCCTGGGGAGGAGGTTGGGGATGGATGATAACTGAAAAGGTCTAGCCACTCACTGGCCCATGAATTGGAAGTGTTTGGTTCCCCATTTAGTTCTGTCCAGGGGATGGATATTTTATTTGACCGTCAACTTCCATTTGTAGAACTTTGCAGACTTTTGCTGTTGCCTCATTTCATCCCCCGCTGGCGTGTTCCCTAATGGTCCGACGAGACGGATTCCATTCTTATCATAGATTTGACACAACACAGCTCTCCTTAATGTTTCAAAGAATCAGTTGTTTCTGGTGAGGTGATGTGGTTGCTCTGGTGACAGGGTGTTGATTTCCAGGCCTCCCAGCAGCATCTCCCACATGCCTGGCATTGTTTGGGTGCCGCAAGTAGAGGGTCAGAAATCATATTCCCTGCCCACGGTGATTGATGCAGGTAACCTGGGAACAGTGTTAAGAACGCTGGTGAACGGAGGTGTGCGAATGCCTGTCAAGGAGGTCATGTGCCTTAAAGAAAGGGGCCCAAGCTCTCACTCCACCATTGAGTAGCTGTCACGTGGGGCAAATCACACACCCTCTGTGCTCCTGGGATTGCTCACTTATACCTGGGCTGATGATAACATTTATCTCGTCCTGCTCGCTTGTGCGGAATACCTAATGAGATAAGCAGTACAAAGGGCTTTGGAGAGGTTAGTTATTGCTGATATTATCTTATGATTAGGTTTAGGGTCTTGGTGGCATCAGAACACCCCCCCGCCCAAGTGTGTGCTTATGATGACAGGAAACTCAGGTGAAAGTCAAAAAGGCAAGTAAACAAGAGGGCAGGTGATTCATTAGTAAAGGGTTTAATAATAAAAGGTGTTTTTCATAGACAGACATATTTCACGGCTGACAGGGTCTTTTAAAATACCCTGAAGGAAGCAGCTCATTTGCATGTTAAAGACTCACTGACACCTTATGGAAAACTCCAGCTCCAGTCTATTTAGACACAGTTTGGCTCCTATATCATCTGTTTTATGTTTTTCAATTTCCACCTCTTTTATTATTGAGGACATTTGCATGAAAACCAGGTCTTGGGAGTTGTGTCTGCTTCACCGCTTCCCCACCTGGAGGTTGTCTCAAGGCTAGGGGTGGCCTCATCGCCTACAGGGACAGACTACAGGGATAGACGTGGAGGACAGTGAACTAAGAGATGGGATTCAGAGGAGGCAAGGGCTGGGATCTGGTGCTGGGAGTGGCCAGAGGAGGATGGCTATCCAATTGTCAGCCTTGCTCTAGGATTCTCAGCTGGGGACCCACGTTGTTCCTGCCTCTGCCCAGGCTCATGGGGTATAGTTTATTCATTCATCGATATATTCATCCAGTAAATACTTTTGGAGCACCTACTGTGAGCCAAGCCATGGTTTGGCAAACTAGAGCTTGAGCACCAAATCTGGTCCCACCCATTACTTATCTTCTAGACTGCTTTTGGCTTTGAGCTATAATGCAGAGTTGAATTGGTGTGACATTATAGCCTGCAAAGCCAGAAATATTTAGTATGCATTATGGCCCTTTAGAGATGTAGTTTGTTGACTCCTGTCCTAGGCAGGAAGAACAGAAAGTACAAAGGCTCCGAGGCCAGGAGGTGCCTGGCATGTTTGAGGAAAAGCAAGGAGGTTAGGGCCATTGGAGTGCAGTGAGCAAGGGGGAAGGGGGGAGGGGCTGAGACCCTGGAGGGAATTGGGCAGTTAGGTCAGGTCGGACTGTGTAAGTCATGCCAAGGCCTCAGCTCTTCATCTGAGGGAGGTGAGAGCCATTGGAGAGTTGAGAGCAGAGGAATGCACAGTTGGCCTTAAGTTTCCATGCTTAGAATGGACTGGGAAAAAACAGACTCACTTATTCAGTCAGTCATGTATTTTTATTAGCAGACTTACTTATTAGCAAATTGTACCCTTTGCATCTGGTGGAAGAGGCAGATATAGGACCAGATACTTAGAGATAAAAGCAGTGCGTGATACGACCAGAGAGGAAGGAACAATGAATTCTGACTGGCTTCCTAAAGGCTTCATTGAGGGATGATGGGGGATTGAGTGTGGAGGGATATTTTGGGAGATGACGTTGGAAGGGTGGGTTGGGCAGAGGATGTGGTGGGGGCCCTGAAGGCTGTGCTAGAGAATCTGGACTTTTTGGTAGGTGAAGGGGAGGTAGGAGTGAGGCGAATGTTACTTGTAGGTTAGGATGGTGATAACTCAGGTGGCAAGGTGAAGGTTAGTTGGGATGTGGGAAAGAGTTTGTAATGGGGAATGGTTGAGTGGTTCAGGCAGGATGTGATGGCCTTCTCCTCCTCCTTTACTAATTGTACAACGTTGTGCCAAATCCTGGACCCTGAGGTGCAAGGAATTCTTGTATGTAAGTTCTTCAGATTTTCAGAGAAGAAATGAAGTTTAAAAAAATAACAGTAAGGAAGTCACATTACTGAGAGTGTTAGGCGTTACGTTAAAGCAGCATCTCACAATGCTAATTCTCACAGTGACCCTGTGAGGTAGATACTGTCAAGAGCTCCATTTTGTATTGGTTTGGCAAAAATGTCCATTACACTTTTTCTGTGAAGTACACACATTTTTCATTTTCACCAATAACTTAACTGATTTGTATATTTTGAGTATGTCAGCTATCTACCTTTGTTGGCTTCTGGTGGGTAGAGGCCAGGAGTGCTGCTGAACATCTTCCAATGCATGAGACAGCCCCACAGCAAAGAGTTATTTGGCCAAAATGTCAGTAGTACCAAGAAACTTCAGGAACCACTTTTGACATGTTCGATCAGTCACAGCACCTTCTCCATACACTGCACTAGTCTCTTTTTGCATTTTGGTTGTGTTTTTACCTTTCTTGAAATAATAAAGCATAATCCACTGAACCTGGCTGGCGTAGCTCAGTGGATTGAGTACGGGCTACGAACCAAAGCATCGTAGGTTCGATTCCCAGCCAGGGTACATGCCTGGGTTGCAGGCCACAGTCCCCAGCAACCGCACTTTGATGCTTCTCTCTCTCTCTCTTTCTCCCTCCCTTCCCTCTCTAAAAGTAAATAAATAAAATCTTTAAAAAATTATAAAAAAAGCATAATACGCTGAAAATGGCGTGTATGTATGTTCTTCCATCTTCAATATTAAAATGGCTGCACAAAAATTCACCAATTTTGATGTTTTTTAAAAATGAATGCTGATATGACAGCTGTCAAAATCTAACAAAATTGTTTTGAATGAAGTTCAAGGTAACTAAACATTGTCGTCTTGAACTACTAGGGCATCGTATGGAAAAAACGTAACGGACCTTTTGGCCAACCCAATAGATGATTACGTGGAGGTCCCAAGAGCCTGTGACCTGCTCGAGGTCACACAGCTGGTGAGCAGTAGAGCCAGGACTCTTTCTGGCTCATACTGCATTCCTTTTTTTTTTTTTAGGGGATCAATTCCCTTTTTCTTTAAAAAAAATCCTTACCTCAGGATATGTTTACTGATTTTAGAGAGAGGAGAGAGGAGGAAGGGAGGAAGAGAGAGAGAGACAAAGAGAGAAACATTGATTGCTTGCTTCCCATACACGCCATGACTGGGGATTGAACCTGTGACCTAGGTATGTGCCCTGACTGGGGATCGAACCTGTAACCTTTTGGCATATGGGACAATGCTCCAACCAACTGAACCACTTGGCCAGGTCTCATACTACGTTCTTAACATGGACTTTTCTGCAGGCCCCACAAGGAAGGTGCCTGGATCACCTCTTATGGACCTTTTCGTACTGATGATCTTGAACAAGGACGGTGTGAAAGGAGCTGAGGGCACTCCATGCTTCCAGATCTGATTGGGAATCTGTGCTTTGGAAGATACAAGGTGGAGGGTGACCTGAGCATGCCACCCTATTGGATAGAAAACACTGTAGACTGAGGGTGTAGAGATCACAGTGAAAGGGTGGGATTAGCTGGGGGCCTGCTGGGCTGTCAGAAGTGGGGCCCACAGAAGTCTGCTGGGAGCTGACAGGCAGGGGAGCAGTGGGATCCTTTGCCACAGCCTGGCATTGGGTGAAGACACAACAACAGCAGTGGTGGTAATAGCGGTGGTCACTCTGTTCCTACTGTGCAGGTGGCACCTTACCAAACATTGTGCACGATTTCTTCATTCCTCAACACCTGTCAGATAGACACAACTGTTATCATCCCCGTTTTACAAACAAAGTCACAGCATTCAGAGAGCACAGGTTGCCCCTGCTTTCCCAGAGAGTGACTGTGTGGCCGCTTGGTGAACTGAGGCAGATCCAAGCAGGGTGGGAAAAGGCATCAGGCAGGCAGGAGCCCACTGGGTCCCACTGACCATGGGTGTGGGTTCGGTTACACAGATCCAGTCGATAGGTGGATACTGAGAACCTAAAGGTAAAGCACCCTGCAGTGCTGTGGGGGCTGTCACGGTGTTTGCAGTCTAAGAGTCCACAGTCTAGACAAGGGCAAGTCTATTCTAAGCAAAAATCAGCCAAACATGGAGGGCTTACCTGGTTGCTGCTGACCAGCTGCCATTTTGGCTGTGGCCTGACCCCTTCTGACCTGGGCATAGGGGGCTAATGACACCTGCGTGTGCTTGGTGGTATCATGAGTCACAAGCACTGATTGTTGACCCGCTCCGCTGCTTTTCCTACCTAAAACAGCATCCCTTGTCACACATTCATACCTTTCCTCTTACCCTCTTTGGTTTTCTTCTCAGCACTTAATACCAGCTGGCATTCTCATAAATTACGTCTGTTTGCCTATGATTTGTCATCCTTTCTGAGTCTAAGTGCCTCACGGGCAAGAACTTGGTCTGTTTTGTTCCCTTTGTCCCAGTACCCAGAGCAGTGCTTGGTGCTGCTCAGGAAGAATGAGATTTTAAGTTGGCTTGTGCTGGGTACTGTGCTAAGTCTTTTATACGCATGATCTCATTTTATCCCAGTGACTTTTGAGTTGGGCATGCTTCCGTTTTACAAATGAGGAAACTGAGGTGCAATGAGAGTAAGGAAATGACCCAAGGCCATACAACCTATTAAGTGGCAGAGCCTGGATTTGAACCCTGGTGTGCCTATGAAACTCGACTGTTCCTCTTTCTCTACTTTCCTTCTGCAGGGTCTGGGGACATGGCCCGAAGGGCTCTCAAGCTCGCTTCATGGACCAGCATGGCGCTTGCTGCCTCTGGCTTCTACCTCTACAGTAACAAGTACTTGGACCCTAATGACTTCGGCGCTGTCAGGGTGGGCAGAGCAGTTGCTACGGTAGGTTTTTTTTTTTTTTTCATTTGGGGCTGGAGAGGAACTCCAGATTACATACAGGTGTTCTTGCATGTAGCAGATGGACATGCCAGTCACACATGTGTGGAGATACATGTGTACCCTTACATGTGCAAAGCTCCTGCTACACAGTTGCACAGGCATGGCTGTCTACCCTCACGTACTGATCAGTATTCCTGTATGCACAACCTCTGCCGTCCTATAGTTAGAGAGTGGGATTGCACAGGATCTCTGCTTTCTTTTTTATTTTTTATTTTATTTATTTATTTATTTATTTATTTTTAAGATTTTATTTATTTATTTTTAGAGAGGGAAGGGAGGGAGAAAGAGAGAGAGAGAGAAACATCAATGTGCGGTTGCTGGGGGTCATGGCCTGCAACCCAGGCATGTGCCCTGACTGGGAATCGAACCTGCGACACTTTGGTTCACAGCCCGAGCTCAATCCATTGAGCTACACCAGCCAAGTATTTTTTATTTTTTTTAAAAGAGTTTATTTATTTATTTTTAGAGAGAGGAGGGAGAATGAGAGGGAGAGAAACATTGATGTTTGAGAGAAACTTCAATCAGTTCCCTTTTGCATGTTCCAAACTGGGGACCTGGCCAGCAACCCAGGCATGCGCTCTGAACAGGAGGAATCGAACTGGTGACCCTTCAGTTTGTGGGTCAACGTCCAACCCACTGATCTATACCAGTCAGAGCTGGGTCTCTGCTTTAAAGGCTTCACATTTTAAGTTCCATGTCTTATTTTAGTCACAGATTCAGAGGGTGGTGCTCCTCAGCAAATACCTGGAAAGAAGACTTTGCTGCTTTGACTAAATTCTGCCAGAAAACTTGGTGTCTCCCTTTCTCTCTCAGCTGGTGTGAGTGGTTCCTGCTGTGGGCTCCTACCCAGAGCATCTAGGCCTCGGAGGACTTTGGGGATCCCCTCCCATCCCCGAACTGACAGAGAATCTGAGTTGACTATGTGACCATTGAGGGTTTTCTCCAGTGGCTCAGGCACGCCATTCTGGTGTGATCATGTCCTCTTTGTGGGAAGCTTTCCCAGATGGGCCTATTTAATTGTCCCCTTTGCTTGTGGGTGGATCACCACGGGCCTCGTGCCTCTCTCCTCCTCTCTGTGCTGCAGGATGAACTCATCCTTTCTCCCCTCTGGTGAAGTATATTCTGGTGCACGGTCTGTCCCACTTGTTGTCCAACCACTTCCTTACCACTTGGTGTTGTCAAGCCATCTCCCTGGCCTGGCTCCGAGGGGAGGCCACTGTGGTGCCTGCCCTCTAGGGGGCGCTGAGGCAGAGAATTAAGACGGACAATAGATAAGCAGGCTGTGGACGATGAAATGATTTCCATGTTTACTGAGTGCCTTTTTGGGTCTAAAACTGTCTTATATGCTTTGAGGAGTGAAAACAACCTGTTCCACCTAAACACAGCTTTGAAGGAGCTTCTGGTTGAGAAGTGCTCATGGGAATGGGCCGGAAAACAATCTAAATCTATGTATGGGCTCGAGTTGGGTGACTCAGATGACCACTGCTGTGGGTGGGACCTCAGACACAGGAGTGAGCCCTTGGCCTGGGAGTCAGGATGAGTGCAGGGGGCGGGAGGAGCAGGGTTTGATGGAACCCTGAGGACTGGAATAGTTGGAAAAAGTGGTGGAAAGTTTTTACCAGGGCTTTATAAGTTAGCCACGAGGCTGTGCATTCTTTGAAGGACATGGTTGTGACCTTGACCATCCTTCTGCACTGCTTAATGACCCGGTCTTGCTCGTGAATGGTATTCAACAAGTACGTGTCAAGTGAACTAAAGCTTTGGAGGTGTAAAGGAACAAACTCCTCTCAATATTGGCTTTGTAAGACCCTTAATTTCTAGGGTCCTCAGTTGCTCAGTTCTAAAAGGGAAGGTTTGGGCTAGGCAATCCCCAAAGTCCTCCTCCCTGCCTCAGATATCTGGCAGTGTGTAATCTGAGTCACCAGGAGTTTTGGCCAGGGAACCGAGAATAAAAACTTGTGCTATTAGAGCAAGCATAAATGTAAAATGATGTTTACTTGTGATACAGAGAGGTGGGATAAGTTTATCCAACAGCACTCATTCAACCAGCATTTGTTGAGCATTTACTAATGTGATGTGAATAAACAGGAAGGACAAGGCCCTGTGCCTATGGAGGTGAAATTCTAGCAGAAGGGAGAGAGTCCACATACGAGGAAACAAATGAGCATGGTACTTTGGGGTGGTGGTTTGTTATGCTAGACAACTGAGAGTTCCTGGTGGGTGGGGCAACTTTAGATGGGAACTCTGCTGAAGCGGTACTTGTGCCCAGCTCTGAATGACAGGAAGCAGCCATCCAGGCTAAGAGCTGGGGGCAGAGCATCTTAGGGGTGGGACTGCCCATTCCCCCAGAAGTACCCACCCATGTCGGGGCCTTCCGCTTTAGTTCTTTGGCAGAGGAGTGATGTTTGGTGTCTGGGCACTAAGTGTTCCCCTTCCTTGGTTCTCAGACAGCTGTCATCAGTTACGACTATCTCACCTCCTTGAGGAGTGTCCCCTATGGCTCAGAGGAGTACTCGCAGCTTCAGTCCGAGGTAAGAGACCCATGGGATCCATCTGAGAGGCAGGCCAGGACTGAGTAAGTCCTGAGGTGGCTGCAGAGCCGGCACACTTCCCGTGTGCAGCTGGAGGTGGGCTGGGGACAGTGTGGGGATTGAGGGTGGGGACCGGGGAGGAAGGAGGGAAGGGCCACCTTGTTGGAGGTGCTTTAGCGCCCATGGGCTCGGCAGGCAGGCTGACGTCAAGCTGGATCCTGTGGTACCAAGGCCATGAACTGCAAGGTGCTGTTGGGGAGACTCCTGTGCGTTTCTGGGGAGCGCCAGTGTCTGGGATGACTCAGGAGGGATGAGGGCTCTGTTCCTGAGATAACTCAGCTGGCTTCCAAACTGCTTTGTCAGGCAGAGCCCAACTGGAAGAGGTTAATTGCTTTTCCGTCCTCTGGAGGCTACGCGGGGGCCTCTTGCAGGCCTCGGAGCGGAGCTGTTGACCCCACATGCTCTGTCCTCACTCGGAATAGGGTGGCTGACTTTGATGCTGTGACGAGATTTCCCAGAGAGTTAGGGCATCAAGCAAGAGGGCAATTTTTGTTGATGCAAGTCGAGTTTGGGGTCAAATGTAGATACTTTTGGTTCCTCCAGAGAGAGGTTTGTGATAGATTTGTGTGTCTTTGCTCAGCCTGGAATGCCCTTCGCCTCTTAGAAAATTCCAAGTCGTCCTTCCACACTCAGCCCAAACACCCCCCTTCTCAATCATCCTTGGTGGGTGGAATAATTAAATTTTAAAATTTTATTTATACTTTTCATTATGGACATTTTAGTCATCCATGGGAGTAGAGAGAATAGTATAACAAACCCCTACAAAACTGTTAGCCAGCTTCAGAAATTATCAATGTTTTGCCAATCTTGTCTCATCCACTCCCCCCTTTATTTACTTATTCTCTTGTTCATACTCATTCATTCATTCATTATTATTATTTGCTTAAATATTTAAAAGCAAATTTCAAGCTTTGTATTATTTCATGTGTAAATACTTTAGTATGTGTTTGTAATAGATAAGGACTTTAAAAAAACTTAACTACAATACCAGGATGATACCTAACAAGATTAATAAAAAATTAATAATATTCCTTGGTATCTTCTCATAGTCCACATTTAAATCTCCCTTGTTTTACAAAAATGTATTTTTGAAGTTGGTTTGTTCAATTATGGATCCAAGCAATGTACATGCAGGGTCCCGCAGAAGCAAGGCCTGCGTGAGTGTGGTTGGTAGTAATAATATGGGTGTAATAATTTATAGTTTTAATTTGAACATTTTGCCCAAAATGTCATATAGTATGCTTGAATGTGATATTGTCATGTTATAGAATTACATGCTTATGGTTTTGTAATAGTGGCATTATTTGTGCCAGACCCTGTATGTTGCATTTGGTTGATGTTTCCTAAATCTTTCCGTGCCCCTCCTCTTTTTTTTTTACATTTTTTTGAGCTATGGCTTACTGAAGGGACCAGATACTTTATTCTATAGAATTTTCCACATTCAGGGTCTGGCTGGTTGCATCCTCAAAGTGTCATTTAATAGGAAATAGATTTACATGGTACACAATTCAAAATCTATAATATTTGAACATATAAAATGATTCTCTTATTCCTGTTCCTCAGGTACCCACTTTTCCTGCCAGGCAATCATAATTTCCTGTGTATTATTTCAGAGATAGATTCCTATTTGAATTTAATCACTCTTATCTTCTTTATTCCTGCCACAAATGATAGTTGGTTACATGTGTTTCTGTTTAGATTATAGATTCTGTTAGATCAGGGATTAGGTCTTTCTTTTTTACATCTTCTACCTCTAGTGATGATGCCCGGGGCTGAGTTGATTTAAGATCTGTTTCAATGCCAGGCTGTACCCTGCTAGCTCCTTGCCTCAGGTGAGGTCCCAGAAAGAGAGTAAAGCTTGGAATCAGAAGACCTGAGTTTGTGACTCAGCTTTGGGGAGGTCATTTAACCCTTTGCAGCCTCCATTTTCCTTGTCTATAGACTGGAAATGGTAATGCCACTTACTAAGGATTATTTTGTGAAGTGTACATGTAAAGCAGGTGTCAAAAATAAGCCAGATGTCTACTAAAAGGTGTGCTCCATGAGCACAGGGAGTTGGTCCGCGTTGTGTATGGCCATGTCTGAAGCCTGGACAGTACCCAGGTTCGTTGAATGAATGAATGAAATGTGAGTTTGTCTTGGCAGATCTCACAGTCTGTGAGATTTAATGCCTCCCCGCTTTTCTCTGCCCTCCTTTGTCCATCTAACTAGTGCTGTGGGCCCTGGAACCCACCAGAGCGACATTCTGCAGAGAGGTCCAGGCCGGAGCACAGGGGCAGAGCAGGCAGGGGGACGGGTGCTGTGGAGACAGTCACCCTTCGTGTGCAAGTCATCTGAAAGGCAGTGGTGCCACAGCCCCTGGAGGAGTTGGCAGCTTTGGGGGACGAGTAAGGGAAGTGCAGCCTAGCGTTTGAAAAGAGGGCAGCATGTGGTAGTCGGCATCAGATAACAGGGGTGCAGGCTTGTCCCAGACTGGTGCCTTGGAAGGAGGAGCTAGCTGGCGCCAAAGAGAATAAGTAAATACTGCAGGAGTGTGTTCTTCCATCAGAACACTTATCTGTTATCATCCAGGTGACTGATAAAGGAATGAGTGAAGGGTAAAACATAATTACCTCACCTGTCAAGCAAGCGTCCCCAGGTCCCAGAGTATGCCAGGGCCAGGAGATGAGCTTGGCAGGCAGTGACTTCGAGAAGCACATTCAAGGTTGGTGCCCAGCTGGCTTGCATCTCAGTGAGTCGGCTCCGCATCAGGAGGGGGTGGGAGCCGATGTGAAGGAGTGTTGTCTAGGGGTGCAGTGGCACTTTGCTAGGCAGCTGAGGGTGTGGGGCGGGGCCCAGGTGCTTTGGAGATCCCTGGTGCTCAGGATGCTTAAAAACAGACAACGTGTGTGAACTAGTCTGTCCACAGGGCAGAAAGAAGTCCTGGCTGAGGCAGACATCCACTCAGTGGGCTGGAGGGTGTAGCACTGAGTTCATTTTGACCGAGGGGTTGGGGGATAGTGGACATATGTTAATCCTACAGCTCAGGAACCGTTCTCATCGAGAAGCAGCATCCAAACTTTCTTTTGGGGAACCGCTCATATCTCACCCCACCCTCAGCTCCAAGGGTGGGCATGTGACTTATTCAGGCCCATTCCTCTGGCCCTAGAGATGGATTCAGGGAGGTCACCCTTGCCAGGCCGGTCAGTGAGCATCAGCTCCAGAACTTTGGGGGGTGTCCCCCACAGGACACTGTCTTTTCTGCTGGTTTGGCTGAGAGTAGAGGATGTTGGTTTAGGGCTGCTGGCAGCCATCTTGCCACCATGAGGGGAAAGCCCATCTGTGAATGGAGCCCGTATTGTGGAGCAGTGTGTCCTTTGGGTCTCTAGATCTAGCCAAGGCTGACACTAGACCACCACCAGACCTTTCAGTTGTGTGTGTCAGGAAATTCTCTTTTTGCTTAGGATGATTTGAGGTCAGTTTTATATTACTTGCAACCAAATGTGTCCTGATACACTGGGGAATCTTGGAAAACCAAGCTGGATCTTGAAGTACAATCAGGGTTTTGAAAGGTCACAGAAGGACTGGTAACTCAAAGGAAGAAATGAAATTCAGACATTCTGAGGCCTGAACCAGGTGAGGAGAGGTTTGGATGGTGCTGGGAAGAATTCAAGCCATTTTGGACCTAGGTAGCATTGGAGCCATTTGGATGGTGCTGGGAACAGATGGAGCCATTTTGGCTCCCGGTCCACCATGGAGCACCTCCACTTCCCGATCTGTGAAGTGGGGGCAGTGGTCTTTGCCCGGGCTGAACTTGTAAGAACAGAGATGAGAAGCTTGACTTAATTAAACACTGGCTTATTTAAGTCAGCCAGAGAGGCAGCTCAGAAGCACAGGGTTTGCCTTGCTGGCTCCTTATCATTTCAACGAACATGTTTATGATTTCTGTTTTCCTTATCTCTACATCTATTAATTGGAATTCTTCTAGAAGGAAGAGGTATACCTTCTCCTTCAGTTCTTTATGGAGTTATTTTTATCACTATGAACTCATGGATATTTATTTTATCTATGAGTCGCAACCCAAAACAGTTATTATTCATCTTGCTGCTTCAATATTTCAAACTTTGGCCATTGGGAGCTCCTTCAGGTTGTTTCCTGTGTTTTTTTTCTTTTTTTTTTTTTTGATATTCCTCATCATTTTTTCAACACTATCTTAACTGTTTAGTACCACAAGATGCCCCAGGCTCTTCTTACATTTTCTTTGCCCCAGCCTTGTAATCAATCACTTCTCCTTTTATTGGAGAATGATATTTATAAACCAAGATGTAGATGCATATTGCTTTGTTTTTGGCCTCTCCCAAGAGACAGGGCCAGGAAATATATATGTATACTTATTCTTGCACACACACATCTACCTGTCCATCCATCCGTCCACCCTCCCACCGACTTACGCATCCAGCCATGAAAAACCATGAGTTCGTGCTGATGCCTTCAATTTCAGTCTAACATCACAGGGTTCATTTAGCCTTCTCCCTGTCTTACATGTAACTTACTGCTCGGACAGTGAGACACCTGCCTCTTATTATCTACAATGTATTAACTTCTTTGTTCAACCCTATTGTATCCCAATGTAGTTAAGACCCCCCAAGGTACACAGAAGCAGGGACAGTGGCCTAAGGTGGGTGATTGAATTCAGTAAGGGGTTTTTGAGTGGGGCTTGGAAAGGCAGGTAAGATTGAAACCTTTAGCATAGGGGACAAGATGATTTTGGTGGAGGGGTAAAATTTTGGAGACCATCCTTAAGAAACGGATCAGTGTTTGGAGACTAGAGTAAGGGTGAGTGAAGGAACATACTGGCACATACAATTAGAGCTAGGTCACAGAGAGACCAAATGCCAAGTTTTATACCATAAGGAACCATGGAAAGTTCTAGCAGGTGTGTCCATCCCACTGCCCATGCG